ATTTCTCCTTCTCCAGGCCACGTGGAACATGAGCATGCTTCAGACTGAAGATCTGATGAAATCAGCTCAGGCAGCCCTCGAGAAGAAGAGTCCCAAAACTAAGACATACTCTAAACTCTGAACACCAGTGAGGCAAAGCTCAGATACAGAAAGTGCCTCTTTCCTCCTCCACTCCGGCCTTTCTTACAGCAATTTTATAAATCAAAATTACATTTACTAGCTGGAGATCTGTATCCACACTAGACAGTATTTTAATGTCATTATGTGTTTAATAATTCATTCAGGTTCATATTTCTCCTGCTCTAATATCAGATATGGATAATATTTAACTAAGGCAAATCTTAACTGACTGAGCTGAGAAACATTTTGTTCATCTGTAAATGACCTTCTGAATGTTTCCTCATTAAAGAGACTTGTGTGAAAGTGATTTTAAATTTCCAGTCTTGCTAGAATAAAGAGGGCACATCAGAGGAGATTTAGGAGGAACAACTGCTCATCTCTTTCTAACGTGCTGCAGTTGAGTCTGTTGTAATGCACTGCTTACCAGTGTGGTATCAAGGCTGTTCTGTAGCACAGCGGTCTCCAACCGTTTTTGTGCCACGGACAATATTTTCACGGACCGGCCTTTAAAGTGTCGCGGATAAATACAACAAAATAAAACTAGTACCGGTACCGAAAAAAATAAGATTTATTCATAACACACGTGAAAAGACCCAGGAAAACAGAGTTAACGATCAAAACGATAACAAAATAACACTGAAAACCATACATTTCACACCTGAGCCTCAACTCTCCTGGCCCAGTACCAAACGACTCACGGACCGGGACCGGTCCGAGGCCCGGGGGTTTGGGGACCGCTGCTGTAACAGACAAACAGGCACTGTGAGGAGTGGTGAGAACAGCAGAAAAGAAAAACATGGCAAAACGAAAACTGGAGGATACTCAAGCAAGCACAAAACATCATCAGTGATGGGGTCACAATAGAATCTTACAAGAAAGAATCAAAAATTGTATTCCATTATGCTTTATTAGCTCCGGTGAAAAACAAGTTAACAATGCAAAAAACCCCAAAAACAAAACAACATGCTGGAAAACAGTTATTCATCACTTGGCTGCTTCAATACAACACTTGGGCACATATGCGGGACTTTTCGTGGCTGTTTTGATATCGCTCTCTCTCTTTTAACCAATCCAATTTCGCTGTGGTAGAAGCTTTAAACTCGGTATGACCCAGGTTGATGGAGGGTGCCTAGTCTGGATCGCATTCCAGCATTTTATAGGCTGGTTTTCCTACAAAACACAACAAATATTAGCCTGCAAAGCCACAGTGAACAAAGCAGCATAGCGCAACGAATTCAATTCAAATCAATATAACACTTATTTGTAACCTACATCAACAATTATGTTATGATAAATTATGTAATAACTACAACAGAAGACTTACCTTTGTGGAAATGCTTGGAGCAGACTAACATGTGAGCTGGAGTGTTCTGGGACTTTATATTTGGTTTTCGAATGGCTGCAATCCAGGCCATTCGCCGGCTCTTTGTTACTTCGGAAACATGGCTTGAACAATTTCTCTTCCACGACGTAATCCGATAAAAATCTATATTTTTACCCGTTGGCTTCCCTCTCTCAAGAGGGGCGCCGTTTGTAAAGTGAAAACATGCTGAAATTAACGGCAACATTTTTCCACATTTAGCTCAGAACCTTACAAAAACATGTTTTTTGGAGTCATTTTTTACAGCATTTAGTAAAATATTTTTACACAATTTTAAATATTAAATCTAAATATTAAATTTAAATATTAAGTGTTAAATCTAAATATTATATTTAAATCTAAATGTTACAGGACAAATTTATTGTACGGATCAACGGAAATACCAAAATAAAAGCTTCACGAAAACCTCCGGTGCAAAAGTGTGCCAGTAGTGGTCAGATTGTGTCTGCTCTACCCTGATGGTCACTTCTCAACGCCATAAGCGGCTTCACTTCTTGCCTAACAGCACGTCCAGCGATTTAGCTGAAAACATCGGAAGATCCGTTTTGTAGGCCATCCAAAGGTTCAGGAGTAGTGGACTCTCAGCAGCTGCAGCACATGTCCAGCTAAATAGCTGGACATGCTCGTTTACCATTTAGATTTAATGTTTAATATTTAGATTTAACATTTAAAATTGTGTTTTAAATATGTAAAGTTACAAATATTTTACTAAATGTTGTGAAAAAATGACTCGAAAAAACATGTTTTTGTAAGGTTTTGAGGAAAAATCTTGCCGTTAATTTCAGTATGGTTCAATTTACAAACGGCGCCCCATATTGTTCCCCCTCCATGCATTGCTACCTTATCGAGATGAAGGGGTTGGTGTGTCCCAGGCAGTGGCGGTCCCAGCCTGTTTGGCGCCCTGGGCAAGCACTCCCTCTGGCGCCCCCCCACCCACCCCCCTCACCCCCACACACACACACACACACACAGACAGACAAAACATATTAAGGATTGTACATTAACATAAAGCTGTTGTACACACACACATATATGAAGAGAGAGAGAGTATGCACAGTATGCGAACGGCTACCAAACAGCCATCATAATACGTCATACAATGAGAACAGAAACAAATCAACAATTGACAATGACTATGATGCAGAGATTTTTAAAAATGACTGTATTTGATACTACAGAATGTATTTTGGGACTTTATTTTTTTTCCGCTCTCCAGGCAGTTTAGTGTCAGTGTTGACCACGCTTGCAGTGAAACATTCAAAAGGGACAAAGTATTTAAAGGGAGACGCGACAGAACTTCACGACCTGCTTGACCACCTGCGATGTCATGATAAAAGACTTACAAGCCCAGAATTCACAGGCAAGTAGCATGGAAGCTGTTGTCTTATTTATGACTGACTATGTCCTAATGTTCTCTGTGAACATACTTGTCTGCAGGGAGTCCTCAGAAATACCTGGTGTGCAGTGAAAGACCCTGTTAGTTGCTGAAGTAAAAAGCAAAACAAACTGAGAACATATAATGAGGTGATTTGGTTGTGTGTGTGTGTGTGTGTGATCATTTTCGCTCTCAGATGAAACTAATGGGAAAACGGCACTACTGAAGGCTTTGCTGAACCTGAAGGGTGGAAATAACACAATTGAAGTTCTCCTTGACATAGCAGAGAAAACTGGAGATTTAGAAAATTTGATCAATGCATCGTATACAGATCCTTACTACAAAGGTAGGGTGAAGGAAAACTGCCAATCTTAAAATAGACCTATCGATGTTTCTGTGTTGTACTGGCAAGCCTTTCAAGATAAATTATGGATCATACAAAATTGTGATGACTAACCTCAGCTTGTTTCTTATAACAAAAGTCCTACGTGTAACAGGTCAGACAGCCTTGCATGTTGCCATTGAGAGGCGGAGCTTTGAGCATGTGAAGCTGCTAGTCCAGAAAGGAGCTGATGTGCAAGCCAAAGCAAATGGAAAGTTTTTCCAGCGTCATGCTGAAATGGGCTTTTATTCTGGTGGGTAATGTCATATTGGTGTTAACAAGCTACACTTTCTGTCTCAGTTGTTTATGGCTGAGTGTTATCTCTAAGCTCATCTGTTTGTGTTTCCATTAGGGGAGCTCCCTCTGTCATTGGCTGCCTGCACCAACCAGCCTGATATTGTGTCCTTTCTCATGGAAAACCCTTACAGAAGAGCTGACGTGACTGACAGAGACTCACAAGGAAACACTGTTTTGCACACCTTGGTGGTCATAGCAGACAACACGAAAGAAAACACAGATATGATTGCAAAGATGTATGATGAAATACTTGTTCAACAGAACAAGCTTGACAAAAAAGTCCAGTTTGTAGAGATTGAAAATAATGATGGCATGACTCCTCTAAAACTGGCAGCAAAGCTCGGTAAGATAGAGGTAGGTCTGTTTTCTACTAAATGTCTGTTTTGCCTTGACGGAACATTTTTTTTTCATAATCAGCAGTCTACCTCCTCGTGAGCTTGTGCTCTTGTAACATTAAGATTAAGCTGTTTAGACACATGCTACACCGGGAATTCATGGATGAGGAAACAAGGCCACTGTCCAGGAAGTTTACAGAATGGATCTACGGACCTGTTCACTCCTCGCTTTATGACATGACCTCCATTGACACAGATGAAAAAGATTCTGTGTTGGAGATAATAGTCTTTGGAAGTGAAATTCCGGTGAGAAATTTCAGCTTTTCTTTTCAATTTATAATGCACATATATTAGTCACTTTGAGGTGACTGAATAAATAAATAAATAAAACTGAATTGAATGTATAGGACTACACAACAGCAGTTACAGTGAGAAATTTGCCTCTGAAGATTGAATTTTGAATCTGGATGTGCTGTCGTCACATTCTACATCATGTCATCCTAACGACTTAGATCACAAGATTCATTCACCAAAGATTAAATACGATACAATAATCTGAGTATCTAGATGGTACACAGTATGTTTTTATGATTAGAACAAGACATTTTTATTATGTTGGGTCCTCAGTCTGTTGAAGCATAAAGTTGGATAGAAAGTTGTCTTTGTCAAATAAAAATTGAGTGAGTGAGCTGAGTGAGAATGTTTTGAATAATAAAACTGATTTGTAAAGTTTAAAATCGCCCTGAGATGCTCCAGATCGAACCTCTTCGCAGTTTGCTTCAGACTAAGTGGGAAAGGTTCGCTTCCTAATTATTCCTGATGAATTTCTTGCTTTATGTGATGTACCTGACCATCTTCACTACTGTGACGTTCTACAGGAAGGAGGAACAGGTAAGACAGAAAACCTAGAGGAAAAATCAAAAATGTTCTCTTGTTTTTAAACTCTTCATCAGCCTAAGCTGTGACTCATAACCCTTTGATCTGCAGCCACCGTTTCCCATTGAAAATATTCCACTCGACCACCTCCGATGTGTTGGTGAGCTCATCATCATCCTTGGAGCACTGAGGTTTCTCTATAAGACGGTAAGAATGCTGAAACCGATACAGTCATTCACTGAAAATTAATTCATATCATTTGTTTATCTGGCGTTTATATTTTCAGATAACTCTTTTCTGGAGGAATCCCCCTACCTTCAATGCTTTATTTGTTGATGGATTCACTGATATTCTGTTGTAAGCATTTCAATGAGATTATTTTTATTTATTTATTTTTTAATGGCCAGACCTTTACTATCAATGCTGTTGCAAATCTCCTGTGTTTCCAGTTTCCTGCAGGCAGCACTTCTTCTAATCTGTGTGGTTCTGTATGGGTGTGGGCTGAAGGAATATGTTGGCCTCCTTGTGCTCTCATTGGCTCTCGCCTGGGTGAACCTTCTTTACTACCTGAGAGGTTCCAAGTAATTGGGGATGTACAGTGTCATGATGCAAAGAGTAAGAGTTTTGTTACTAAAACAGGCTGCCTGGCCAGACATGAGTGGCTCAGTTTACAGTATTTGTTTCTCTTTAGATGATCCTGGGTGACCTGTTACATTTTCTATGCGTCTATAGCGTCTTGCTTTTTGGATTTTCTGCTGGTAAGACTTTAACCTTTTTTAAGTCTCTTTATTTTATTTTATTTTTTTAATATCAGCCTGATGGCAGGCCCATCTTACAAATGCTTTTTAAATGACTTCAACTCCATTTGTGTTTAAAAATTCAAGCGGTTTCTTTAGGGGGATATTTGGTATATCACGGTAGCGCAAAGTATTCACAAGGTACTGCTGTCTGAACGCAGACAGCTCAAACTAGATGCTATCATGTCACCTTAATGTAATTCGTCGACCACTCTGGGGTAGAGAGAAAATTCAACTGGTTTCTGAAAGTTATTTTTTAATTTTATAGCCAAAACAAAATAAGTCTAGGCAGCCTGTTTGATGCTTGGGTAACAAAGATGTGAAAATTAAAGTTATATGCAGAAGAGGTTTTTTAATTAGTTTAATGTTCTGACATACATTTTCTTCTTTTTTCATAGCCATTGTTGCTCTCATACACGACTCCCCTCCGGCTCACACAAAAATGACAAATGACACGGCAGCACAAATGAGAAGCTTTTTTGAACCATATAAATGTGTGAAGCCAAGTTACAATGACATTTGTTTTACAACACTGGAACTGTTCAAGTTCACTATTGGAATGGGAGATCTGCAGTTCACAGACCAAGTTCAATACAAAGAAGTTTCTACATCCTGCTCATCTGTTACATAATTCTTACATACATCCTGCTCCTGAACATGCTGATAGCCCTGATGGGCAACACTGTTGAAAGAATCTCCACACAAAGTGAAAACATCAGGAACTTGCCGGTGGGAATCTGTTAAACTCTGTAAACATGATTTCATACATCTCAAAAAATTAATTCTTATTTCAGAGAATGCAGAATTCTTATTTAAAAGCTCCAAAGGGTTTCCTGAAGTTCTGTGTAAGCGAACATATTGTTTCACATTTTTAGCGGGTCTTCACAATTTTGGATATGGAGAGGACTCTACCAAGGTGGCTGAGGAGCAAGCTGCAATGCAGAATGTCTAGGATGGTGTGTTCCAGAAACAGCATAGACAAGCATAGAAGATTTTTCAGGTAAAACAATTAATAATTTTAATTCATTCAAAAAACATCAAACAAACAAACAAAACAACTTGACTGTGTCCAGTCTAAAGACATCAACACCCTATATCAGGTGTGCATAATTATTAGGCAACGTCCTTTCCTTTGGCAAAATGGGTCAAAAGAAGGACTTGACAGGCTCAGAAAAG